CAGTGGAAGGACAGGCGGGTAACTTCATGCCGTGAACGGATAACAGCCGATTCTCAGACTTCATCCCCAATATCCGGAGATTCGCCGGGATTCTGCTCATCTTTCTTCTTTCTTGGAAACTTTTGAGGAATGCCATGCCGTGGACCTGACAGAGAAAGACACAAGGAAGGAAAATGAGGAGCTGGACTAAAAAAGGTACAACAATGGGGTCCGACTCTGGCCCTGAGTGACGTCACAGTAATGCTGTCCGAGTCCGGGCCTGAGTGACAGCTCAGTAATGGGGTCCGAGTCCGGGCCCGAGTGACGGCACTGTAATGGGGTCCGACTCCGGGCCCGAGTGACCTCACAGTAATGGGGTCTGACATTGATACATGGATGACATTTTGGGAGTCTGAACTTCATCTAATGGGAATCACAAAGCTGAACGTCAGGAAAGCCGCTATATATATATACACTCAGATAATATACGGGGGCTGTTTTACCCACCAAAAGGGTTGTATTTCTGTCCATCCCGTCCTTAAATTTACACAGCACAGCCCTGTGTAGCAGGGAAGGGGACATGGTCTATCTCTGCTGCAGTTTCACTTACAGGTACCCCAAGCACCCCCAGCGTGTGACTGGACAGTGAAGGCAGCACACTGATGAACACATCTCGGTCACTCTGCTCTCTATCAGCACGTGCCAGACATAGAACAGAATGTGCACAGAGGGGGGAACGTCTCTCACCTGATGAAGGTTTTGAAGGCGGCAGAGTGGGGGTTGATACACAGCGGGGGCCGTTTTCCCTGTTGTTGGTCTGTGATGAAGCGATGAACCAGCTCTGTATTAAAAGAAGGAAAAGCCATGAGTCTGTGCCCGATAACCTCTGACCTTAACCTCTGACCTTTACCCCCCCAATAGCCAGCGACCTCTCACCTTTGACCTGCCAGACGGAAGTGAGGCTCTTCTCGTACGAGTCATCGAATCGGTCGGAGGCCGTGGGCTCGAAGTCGGCGGTGTAGACGCGGCCGGACGACACGGAGTAGCAGCAGTGACACATACATGTGTGGTAACGGAGACGACCTTCTTCCAGGTACGGGTGGGCCAAGGCATCCTTAGCCGAGATCCTCTTGGCCTGCAGGAAGGACATCAGCCAATGAGAACACAAGATCCAACAATATGGCCGCCTATCCCTTCAGGCCTTCCCGATTTGGTAAGGAAGCCGGGCTGCCTAGCAACAAGTGAAGCCGGCTTCCTAGCCAATCAGCAACCCAGGCGGCACCTCATGACCCGCCTCCCTGATTGGCATGGAAGCCGGCTTCACTTCTTGGTAGGCAGCCTGGCTTCCTTACCAAATCGGGAACCCGGGCGGCACGTCATGACCCGCCACCCAGCTTCATGATTGGAAAGGAAGCCGGCTTCGTGCTCCCTCGGCACTGCCGGTCAGAGGGAGATCCGACAGGAAGTCACAGTATTGGGGGAAGGTATCGGAGCTTTTGGGGCGAATACCAATACCGGCACATCCCTAGAATGACCTTTTGGGAGGTACCTAGAACGTCATTCGAGGTGATAGAAAAGGAAGCCCGGTGGCTCTCCTATTGTTAAAAATTTGGCGCTCTAAGCCCTCACTGGAATCGCCCGGCACGTACAGATCCGTGTTGCGCGCACGGCCGCATCCGGGAAGGACAGGTACTGCGTGTGATTAGTACGCAGCCCAAATGAAGAAATAAAGGTCACCGGCACGCCAAATAGTAGTTTAGCAATCGGCCATTTAATGACACATTGCCTTTCAATGCACGCGCTTTCGGGACCTCAAAGGGTCCCCTTCATCAGGCTGAGAATGATGGCGTGCTGGCGACTTCATTTGAGTTGTTTACATACGTGGTCACTACAAGCACCCAGCCGTCTACACGGGTCTCTTGGATGTTCCGGTAAGAAGTGCAGCAAGACCTCTGGTTTCGATTAGTACGCAGCCCCTCTCCTCTATCGGACTATGCGGCCGTACGCTGCCATACGCTCAAGTGCGTGTCCGTACGGCTGCGGGTGTCCCGGCTCGGACGCAGACTGGATCCATCCCATCAGCGTACGAGTACGGACACGCAGGTTGGGTGAGCGTAAGGCGGCATAGAGAAGGACAGGGGCTGCGTACTAATCACACGCAGCACCCGTCCTTCCTGGGAGCGGCGAGCACGCCGCACGGAGCTGTACGCGCCGGGCCGTTTCTCGTGTGAACGAGCCCTAAATGGCCGAAGCCCTGGAAGTAGTCGCGGACATGCAAGGGGCGACTCACCGGATCAAACAGCAGCATTCGGCACAGGAGGTGAACGGCTTCGTGTGTGGCTTCACCAGACAGCATATACAGGACAGAGAGAGACGGCTGCCGAAAGACAAGAGGGAACAGTGAGCTAAAGAGGACCTGTCACCAAGAAAAGCAAAACCGACATAACGCGCTCCGCACTAAAAGGAACATTCCCACTGTCAGCGTGCACATTATTACATCATACAAAATCCTGTCCGTCACATTCTACTGCAGCTCTGAACTGGCCCGGTTTCTATGATACTCCAAGAGAACCTCCTGCTTGTTGCAAAACAAATCCGAGTGTTGCCAAAGCACCCAGATTGCAGCGGACTGATAAACGCAAGGAGGCGCGAGACTTGGGTGCTACAGGCAACACTCCAATCAGATTCAGCTGCTATCGAAACAATCCGTGTCCTATAAATTACCGGCTTGTGGGGGCCGCGTAGTATGTGGGCTCTGGCTCCCTCGCAGGCGGACCGCATGGCAGTGAGAGGCGGAGTCCCCAGGAGGTCTGTGATCAGGTCCAGCTGGGGGAAGAGATGGAGAAAGTGGTCACGTGACACGGAAAAAAGACAGACGGGATGACGGATCCCTACACCACGTCCACCCAAAACAACCGACATCGATAGGCCTAGAGGAGGGGTGGGCAAGCTCGGCACTCCAGCTATGCTGAGACTACGTATCCCATGATGCCTCTGCGAGTCATGGCTGTGAGTTACAGAGTCTTGCAGTGATTCATGGGATTTGTAGTTCCACGACAGCTGGAGGGCCAAAGGTTACCTGCCCCTGGTCTAGAGAGCACATTACATTTTCTTCCTCCACCATCTATGATGCATATAATCAAACACCTCTGAGGTTGGCATGATAGTGTCTACAGGCGGGCTGATCTATAAGAGCAAGGGGCAGGTGGGATCCAGTCGAGTACAATAAACCGAAACAGCAGCCCCAAATGTTCTAGCCGTGCTGCATGGTGACTGTTCTTTGCTGTTCTTCTCTCCCGGCAGACTGAAGACCATGCACTCTCTCTGTAAGTGGATTGCGCAGAGAATGATGACCGAGGAGCGATTGCTACAGACCCAACTAGAGGGAGACTCCGGCCTCCTGGGATATCTACGACACATGTCTGCGCTTCACCCTGCAGGGGAAGATTTGGGAGATCCGACACCATGGCAACATCTAAAACTACATCCCATGTGTTTGAAAGTCTAATTTTCTGGATTTTACCTCCTTTCTGCTCTGTGTGAGCCTCACCGTGTCCTAGTTTGCAGTATATAATAGAATAATGTCGGCATCCCGCCCCCCCAACCAGTGAAGGAGGCGAGGAGTCATCCTGTCCTATCAATGTTCAGGCTAAAGTGACCGGTTCTATTGAGAGCCCAGACACAATTATAGTCTTCTTCATCATGCCTCCCCCATCCCCCCTACAGGCAGCAACTGGGGCTTGCGACAGGAGAGGAGCCGACAGGCAGCAACTGGGGCTTGCGACAGGAGAGGAGCCGACAGGCAGCAACTGGGGCTTGCGACAGGAGAGGAGCCGACAGGCAGCAACTGGGGCTTGCGACAGGAGAGGAGCCGACAGGCAGCAACTGGGGCTTGCGACAGGAGAGGAGCCGACAGGCAGCAACTGGGGCTTGCGACAGGAGAGGAGCCGACAGGCAGCAACTGGGGCTTGCGACAGGAGAGGAGCCGACAGGCAGCAACTGGGGCTTGCGACAGGAGAGGAGCCGACAGGCAGCAACTGGGGCTTGCGACAGGAGAGGAGCCGACAGGCAGCAACTGGGGCTTGCGACAGGAGAGGAGCCGACAGGCAGCAACTGGGGCTTGCGACAGGAGAGGAGCCGACAGGCAGCAACTGGGGCTTGCGACAGGAGAGGAGCCGACAGGCAGCAACTGGGGCTTGCGACAGGAGAGGAGCCGACAGGCAGCAACTGGGGCTTGCGACAGGAGAGGAGCCGACAGGCAGCAACTGGGGCTTGCGACAGGAGAGGAGCCGACAGGCAGCAACTGGGGCTTGCGACAGGAGAGGAGCCGACAGGCAGCAACTGGGGCTTGCGACAGGAGAGGAGCCGACAGGCAGCAACTGGGGCTTGCGACAGGAGAGGAGCCGACAGGCAGCAACTGGGGCTTGCGACAGGAGAGGAGCCGACAGGCAGCAACTGGGGCTTGCGACAGGAGAGGAGCCGACAGGCAGCAACTGGGGCTTGCGACAGGAGAGGAGCCGACAGGCAGCAACTGGGGCTTGCGACAGGAGAGGAGCCGACAGGCAGCAACTGGGGCTTGCGACAGGAGAGGAGCCGACAGGCAGCAACTGGGGCTTGCGACAGGAGAGGAGCCGACAGGCAGCAACTGGGGCTTGCGACAGGAGAGGAGCCGACAGGCAGCAACTGGGGCTTGCGACAGGAGAGGAGCCGACAGGCAGCAACTGGGGCTTGCGACAGGAGAGGAGCCGACAGGCAGCAACTGGGGCTTGCGACAGGAGAGGAGCCGACAGGCAGCAACTGGGGCTTGCGACAGGAGAGGAGCCGACAGGCAGCAACTGGGGCTTGCGACAGGAGAGGAGCCGACAGGCAGCAACTGGGGCTTGCGACAGGAGAGGAGCCGACAGGCAGCAACTGGGGCTTGCGACAGGAGAGGAGCCGACAGGCAGCAACTGGGGCTTGCGACAGGAGAGGAGCCGACAGGCAGCAACTGGGGCTTGCGACAGGAGAGGAGCCGACAGGCAGTAAACGGGGCTTCTGACTGGGGAGGAGCTTAAACATTGTTGATGACACCAGCCTGCCTGTACAACCTGGGGGCCTGGTGATCAGGTGGCTAGGCCCCGATCTATGAGGTAATTCACAAGCTCCTCCATAAGTGGAAGCATTGTGTATTCACCAAGGGCTTCAAGGTAGGGGTCAAAGGTAAAAATAAGCCAGTTAGGAAGGGAGCCCCTGAATGGGTCAAGTGACAGAGACTCTTAAAATATGGTCCCGATGGTTCATATAAAGGCTGAATTCTAATGGTACCTGTTGGATGGGGCTCTGGGCCTGGAACAGGATCCTCCTCCCTAGCAGCTCAGCAAAGATACAGCCCACGGACCAGATGTCGATGGCGTTTTGGTAATGCCGGCTTCCCATAAGGATCTCCGGGGCCCGGTAGTACTGGGTCACCACCTCCTGGGTCATGTGCTGAGACTCGTCCAGTTCCTCCACCCGAGCCAGACCAAAGTCACAGATCTGCGCAGAGACGTGGGAGGGAAAGCAAAACAGGTGAGAGGGAGGCGCGCATTCACCTAGCTGAAGGTCATCGTTGTTACCACCTTACCCCTTCAACAAGAGAGTGGTCTGGTGCTCAGCAACACCCCTCCTGGTGCAAAGCCTCCAAAAGCCAGCACTCGCTAGCTTTGTCCAAAAAATAATTCCTTTAGTGCATTTCAGGGAACATACAGTACAAAAAGTTGGAAAAAAAAAAACCTGGCCAGGGCATTTAATGCCACCCGGCCTCTATGCACAAGCTCAGGCTACAGAACACCCCCCACCTTGTACACAGGCCTGTGACCACATAGCAAGACGCACCTTGAGCACACAGTTGCTGTTGACCAGTAAGTTTCCTGGCTTGATGTCCCTGTGCAGGATCCCAGCAGAGTGTAAGTACTTCAGCCCTGCAGGGACAAAAAGGGTTAAACGTCAATATAAAGAAGTCTCCTTAACCTTAAAACCAAAGTACTTATACCGTCTGCCAGAGGACAAGGTGCTTGTAGCACTTTGTCCCGTTATGATAGATGCTTTGAGTCCAGGAAGTAGAATGGTTGACAGCGCGCCCCCTCCCCCCCCCATGGCTGTATGATCACGCTGCTCTGTAGGAGATCAATAACTGATTAGCATCGATTGACAGCGGTGGTCTCTGGCACCTTGCCCCAAGACCAGCGCCCTCTAAATGGTGGCACAGGGAGGGTGCATGCCAGAGCGACTGTCTGGAAAACAACCACAGGTGCGCTCGCAGCACAGGGGGGTGGCTCAGTCTGAGGCCTACAAATAGGAATGCACAGCCAACAGCCATGCAGGGGGGAAGTGCAGTCGCCTTCGTTTCTAGTGGAACACATACAGAGGACTCTTCGCAACAACAGGAAACCCACAAATCGGGTGTCAGGGTACATCAGTCAGCACCCATAGTACAGCTGCACGAAACTATGCGCATATTCGGCGCTAATAATGCGCAAAAACTATGCACACGTGCATGCGCAGCACCACCGCTGTCAATCTATACTAATCAGTTATTCGTCTCCCACAGAGCAGTGTGGTCAGACAGCAGTAGGGGGAGGGGGGTGCGCTGTCGACCATTCTACCTCTGGACCTGTTCTTGGAGCCAGGCGGGCTATTTAAAGATGGCTCCTGCATCTGCACCTTGCTGAGAGACCTTCATCTGTATTCTGTATCTGTGATTCTGTTCCCGATACCCGTCTGACCCAACTTGATTCCCGACTCTGCCTGCTTGCTGCCTGCCTTGTGACCTCGGTGTGTCTTCTGACCATTCTTTCGTCTCCTGATCCTGCTCGCAAGTGTATGACCCGGGCCTGCTCCTGACTTCCGTCGCCTGCTTCTGCACCACGCTGACCGCACGTTACCGATCCGGCTTGTTCCCGACTACGCTTCAGCTCCTCACACCAGTGCTGTCTGATCTGCTATCAGCCATCCAGCTGCCTCCGGCATCCAGTCATCAGCACCATCATCCCCAGTGTGTCCAGCAGTCATACCGGCCACAGGCACTCTGTCTGCACAACTACTGTTCTATCTCCAGTGGGGCTCAGACGAGAGCTGCAGGAGGAGGCCTTCCTCGTCACTTCAGGCTCACACCAAGGTATGTGACATCGGGCTTCTGTCAGGCAGCAATGGAAGGGAACCAGAAGATTTCTACACCTATATCATTCATGTATTGAAACATAAATCCACAGACCAGAATAACATTTTTGTTTTCACCTCGCAGAATCTGGTACAGGAAGACCTTGATATGGTCGGCGCTGAGCGGCTGTGGGGACACGATCACCTTGTGCAGGTCGGTCTGCATCAGCTCGGTGATCACATATCTGAGGCCAAAAAGGTGAAGGATCATAAGGAACGGATGAGGAAGAGAGCGACGCTGAAACGTAATGGCGCTATGCCAAAAGATCTCATCATTCCCTACAAGAAGAATTCTGCAATATTTCCAGCTTCAGCCCACAAAGAAGGCGGCAAAAAAATAACCCAATACAAACCCTAATACAGGGGTAGCCAAACTTAGGCCCTCCAGCTGTGCTGAAACTACATATCCCATAATGCATCTGTCTCTGAGTGGCATGCCTGTGGGATCTTGCAATGCCTCATGGGATCGGTAGTTTTACCACAGCTGGAGTTTGGTTACCCTTGCCCTAATGTGTCAAAACCAGATCATCTGTGTGTACACACGGCAAAGGACTACCCAAGCACTATGTGTTAGCTTAAGAGACATCAGAGCAGATGCAGCTTGCTTTGAGACTCTTCGTTCAATCTGAGCTTCAGTTGGACAATCTAGTAAGGGGAATTCAATATTTAAATGACCAAAAACTTATATATTTTTTTAAATGTTTTTTTAGTCCTAAAGAAATTAAGAAAACACATCACCAAAAAACGATATTTCGGAGGTTTATAGATGCGGGAGAGTCCGCCTTTAGCCAGGGTTCCTCTTGGGTTCTTCCAGAGGATCCATCAGAGATGAACAATTTCTACCTCTCAGATATGTAACCGGAGACACCGATCATCGTCAGCCTCCAGTTTGTGGATTTAGAAGGCCGTGTCATGTCATCCACATTCAGTGGAATTGGCCAATGGGAGGGCTGTATTGTCGGTCCATCCAAATTGGTGAAAATGGAGTCTTGTGGAGAGTTACCCTGTTGCCTCATCTATGTCTTGGGGCTCCAGTGGGCTGTTGTCTTCACCACAGTTCTTGGATCTGTTCCCAACAAGTGTCCCAGGTCACCTTCTGTGAGGCCTTCTTCATAATGGAGGCAGTAGGCGTGCCAACCAATGAACTCGGCGCAGAGATCTCATCAATAGTCCCTGAAAGGCAGAAGAAGCTGCTGTGCAGCCTTAGGCTAGGGACTCTTCCCAGAAGTAGGGATCATCCATCCGCCTGACCATGGCACCAATAACCAGTGTAGATATGGTCATTATCAGCAGGGACACCTTGATGACAGGAAGTTATTTCAATGATTTCCCTTATGATGAGAAGGTTGATGAAGGCTGTGCTAGTGTTTTGTCTGTCTTCTCAAGGACCCGGCTGAGGAGAGGCCTTCTCGAGGACCCGGCTGAGGAGAGGCCTTCTCGGGGACCCGGCTGAGGAGAGGCCTTCTCGGGGACCCGGCTGAGGAGAGGCCTTCTCGGGGACCCGGCTGAGGAGAGGCCTTCTCGGGGACCCGGCTGAGGAGATATCTGTGCCAAGTTCATGGGTTGGCACACCTACTGCACCCAATATGAAGGAGGCCTCAAAGAAGGTGAACAGGGACACCCAAAACTCGTAGCTTGGTGGCAGCAGATGCAGGAACTATGGTGAGGACAACAGCAAACTGGACCCCCAAGACATAGATGAAGGCAAAAGGAGCAACTCAAGTCCATTTTCACCAAATTGGATGGACTAATAATACAGCCAATTCTACCCAATGTAGAAGACACGACACGGCCTTCTGAATCCACAAACTGGAGGCCAAGAAACACACGTCATGTATATTGGACATAGACTTCTTCTTGGGCTTTGAAGCCATGGTTCATAAAAAGGATACATCTCTTCGAAGCAGTCGATCTGAGGGGGCTGCAGGATATCCAGGGCGGACAGGACCTTGAAAACAAATCAGAAGGATCATGGTAAATAATGATGGCGGCCTCCACTCATGCATTCTATAGCGCTAGGAGCGCAGCCAGTCCTTTGAATACGGTAGAAGGTAACAAAAATGGCGGAGAGGTTTCTGTAACCCGTAGCAACTAGTCAGTGAAATGGGATACAGAACTCGGCATGCCAGCAGGACCTGGGAGCTGGGGGTGTATATATGGGAAGCCGCCTGTCCTCTTAAAACTGGAGGGGACTCAGGCAGCTGTAAAGCCACCAGATCACATCCATGGACCACCAAAGGTACGGCCTTCCACCCCATGTATCCTGGGCTCTGCTGCCACTCCTGCAGGACCAGCATGGTGGACCTCAGCAGGTTTGGCAGAGGACAATCAGTGAACATCCCTGGGTATAAGGTGCTCAGGTGTGGAGACAAGAATGGCATCGCCCGTCCATGTGTTGGGGAAGTTGTGTTCCTTCACCGCTGACCGTGTCATCCTGAGCCCACCGTCCATGATATCAGAGAAGGAACACAACTCCCCCAACACGTGGACTGGCAATGCCATTCTCGTCTACACACACAAGCTGGTACAAAGACCCCACCAGAATCACAGAGGGCAGTGCCCGCTCCTTACATTGTCGTGTTTGAAGAAGCAGAGCATTTTCAGTTCCCTGAAGACCCGCTTGCAAGACACCAGGTTCTGGAAGACATTTGGCATCTTCTTGAGGGCGACACGTTTGCCATCGCGAGGGTCCGTCACTGACCTGAAAGGTCCAAAGAATCGATGTTACAGAAGTGTAAGTTCCAGGCACCAGGTAACCGTCATATAGAAGGGGCACCTATCCCTGTGCCCGATTGGGCCCATTTTTTTCTCAGACCAAAAAGCCTACCAAGAAAATCAGCCAACACCTGTATGTGGTGCACCCTTAACCCAACATTTCTCTGTATGTGTCACACCCGGCACCTCCCTGCCTCTCAG